ATCTTCTACCGCAGTGAAATTTTTCGAATAATGAAATAGCTGTAGATATCGGACGGTTTTAATTCGTCTAAATATGTATCGTTTCGGAGTGATGATTTGATGTGGAACCGTGGAGAGCATATGACGTGGGATCTTAGAGAGCTGAGCCGTGTTCTTGACGATGGTGGCCTTGTTGCCGCTTGGTTTCTCCGTAGTGTTCTCCGCATTTGCCTGTTGTAGTTCCTCCTCTTGCTTCTTAATGTAGTGGGGATGACAGGCCAAGTTGCAGTGGTGTTCTCCGCTTGCTGAGTGATGATTTGATGTGGAACGGCTAAGTTGCAGTGGTGTTCTCCGCTTGCTGAGTGATGATTTGATGTGGAATCGTGGAGAGTATATGACGTGGGATCTTGGAGAGCTGAGCCGTGTTCTTGACGATGGTGGCCTTGTTGCCGCTTGGTTTCTCCGTAGTGTTCTCCGCATTTGCCTGTTGTAGTTCCTCCTCTTGCTCCTCAATGTAGTGGGGATGACAGGCCAAGTTGCAGTGGTGTTCTCCGCTTGCTGAGTGATGATTTGATGTGGAACGGCTAAGTTGCAGTGGTGTTCTCCGCTTGCTGAGTGATGATTTGATGTGGAACCGTAGAGAGTATATGACGTGAGATCTTGGAGAGCCGAGCCGTGTTCTTGACGATGGTGGCCTTGTTGCCGCTTGGTTTCTCCGCAGTGTTCTCCGCATTTGCCTGTTGTAGTTGCTCCTCTTACTCCTCCTCTTTATTGGTGGATTGATAGAATTGTAGAAGAAATATGGTTACACAAACAGGTGGAAGGATTATTCCATAGAGAGCATATGACGTGGGATCTTGGAGAGCTGAGCCGTGTTCTTGACGATGGTGGCCTTGTTGCCGCTTGGTTTCTCCGCAGTGTTCTCCGCATTTGCCTGTTGTAGTTCCTCCTCTTACTCCTCAATGCAGTGGGGATAACAGGCCAAGTTACAGTGGTGTTCTCCGCTTACTAAGTGATGATTTGATGTGGAATCGTGGAGAGCATATGACGTGGGATCTTGGAGAGCTGAGCCTGTTCTTGGTGCTGGGGGCCTTGTTGTCGCTTGGTTTCTCCGCAGTGTTCTCCGTATTCGCCTGCTGTAGTGACTTCTCTTGCACTGGCTGAGTGGATTGGTGTGAGACCGTGGAGAGTAGGCCTGTTGTGTCACTGCTGCTGATGACTGTCTCCGCAATGTTCTCCGCAGTGTTCTCCGCATTCGCCTGTTGTAGATCCTCCTCTTATTTAATTGAGTGCGAGGGTACCGAGGGTAAATGTGTTTATATTGATGAAATTAATAGAATTAATAGAATTAATAGAATTAATAGAATTAATAGAATAATAAAAGAAGAATAATTATATAAATAGGTGAAAGGATTATTATTCGATCTCGAACGCGTTTAGTATAATTATAATATTTAAATATTAGTTTAATCTATCTATCGCTAACTTAGAAGAAGTATATAGAGAAAGACGTATCCGTTTAAGCTCTTTTTAAGAGTCTTTTAACGCGTTTATAAATAGTAGTAGATAGCTATTAAGCTCGCTTACGGCCTCGATTATTAGTAATAATAAATTCGTTAAGAGATAATTTAGAGATATTAGTAAGAGACTCTAATTAAATTAGGCGAGGGGTATCGAAGACGATTATATTTATATTAGTAAAATTAATAGAATTAATAGAATTAATAGAATAGTAAAAGAATAATAAATAGATAAAAGAATTATTATTTAATTTTAAACGCGTCTAATATAACTATTATAACTATTATATTTAAATATTTATTTAATCTATTAATAGTAGATTAAACTTTATAATTTTTATAGCGTTAGAAAGCGTAAAGCGAGCTTTATAATTTAAGGAATTATAAAATAACTATATATATTATAAGCTAAGTACTTTAAAGTATAAAACTTCTATATATAAATTTTTAATAAGAGAGATATAAAAGAACTATTAAACTAACTTAGTCGATTTAATTAAAGAGCGTAATAACTCTAAATTAATAATTAGCTATATATATAAATTTAAGATTTTTAAGCTTAGCTCTATCTTATTCTATTATATATATTAATATAAATATATATATACGAAGAGAGATACGCTAAGACTTAATTAGAAAGGTATATCGAGTATAAAGAATTAATTCGTAATAATTATCTATAAAAAATAGAGAAAGACTATATTCTTATAATAAGAAGTATTAAAATATCGAAAAGAAATAAAGATAATATATTAATTAGTGGTGTAAATCTTATATTATCTTCTATCGTAGTAAAATCTTTTAAATAATAAAATAGCTATTAGAGTAAGATATCGAACGATTTTAATTCGTTTAAATATATATTATTTGATATTTCTTCTATAGAGATCTAATTAACTATAATCGTAGACTAAGTTATAATAATATTCTTCGCTTACTAAGTAATAATTTAATATGAAATTATAGAGAGTATATAACGTGGGATCTTGAAGAGCTAAGCCGTGTTTTTAACGATAGTAATCTTATTACCGCTTAGTTTCTCCGTAATATTCTTCGTATTTATCTATTATAGTTTCTTCTCTTACTTCTTCTCTTATAGAGTATTAGATTAAGTAACTAGTTAAGTAGCTAACTAAGTAAATAACTAATATAACGTGAAATCTTAGAGAGCTAAGTCGTATTCTTAACGATAATAGTCTTATTACTACTTGATTTCTCCGTAGTATTCTCTATAGTATTCTCCGCATTTATCTATTATAGTTTCTTCTCTTACTTCTTCTCTTATAGAGAGAGTATTAGATTAAGTGACTAGCTAAGTAATTAACTAAGTAAATAACTAATATAATATGAAATCTTAAAGAGCTAAGCTATATTCTTAACGATAATAGTCTTATTATCGCTTAATTTCTCCGTAGTATTCTCCGTATTTATCTATTATAGTTTCTTCTCTTACTTCTTAATATAGTAAGAATAATAGACTAAGTTATAGTAGTATTCTCCGCTTACTAAGTAATAATTTAATATAAAATCGTAGAGAGTATATAACGTGGGATCTTAGAGAGCTAAGCCGTGTTCTTGATGCTGAAGGCCTTATTACCGCTTGGTTTCTCCGTAATATTCTCCGCATTTACCTATTATAGTTTCTTCTCTTACTTCTTAATATAGTAAGAATAATAGACTAAGTTATAGTAGTATTCTCCGCTTACTAAGTAATAATTTAATATAAAATCGTGAGAAGAGTATATAACGTGGGATCTTAAAGAGCTAAGTCGTATTCTTAACGATAATAACCTTATTATCGCTTAATTCTCCGTAATATTCTCCGTAGTATTCTCTATAGTATTCTTCGCATTTATCTATTATAGTTTCTTCTCTTACTTCTTCTTTTATAGAGTATTAGACTAAGTAACTAGCTAAGTAGTTAATTAAGTAAATTACTAAGCTAATAGAATAGATAGTATTAATTAAGCGATTAATCGAGTATCGCTAATTTAAAAGAAGTATATAGAGAAGAACGATAACTATAAATTCGTTTAAACTCTATTAAGAGACTTTAAAATAGAGTAATAAAGAACGAATTAAGAAGAAAGACGCGTCTTAAGAGATAGTATCGCTAGATTAAAAGATATTATCGCTAACTTAAGAGAAGTATATAGAGGAGAATATATTCGTTCGAGCTCTTTTTAAGAGTCTTTTAATACGTTTATAAATAGTAGTAGATAGCTATTAAACTCGCTTATGGCCTCGATTACTAGTAATAGCGAATTTATCGAGAAATAATCTAGAGATATTAGTAGAGACTCTAAGAGGCGAGTAAAAGATATATATCTAAAGCGTTTAGTAATATTTTCGCGAGAAATATCGAGAATAATTATATTTATATTAGTAAATTAATAGAATAATAAAAGAAGAATAATTATATAAATAGATAAAAGGATTATTATTCGATTTTAAACGCGTATAATATAACTACTATAACTACTATATTTAAATATCTATTTAATTTACTAATAGTAGATTAAACTTTATTATTTTTATAGCGTTAGAAAGCGTAAAGCGAGCTTTATAATTTAAGAAATTATAAAGTAATTATATATATCGCAAGCTAAGTACTTTAAAGTATAAAACTTCTATATATAAATTTTTAATAAGAAAGCTTAAGAGAGTTAGCGAGCTAATTTAGTCGATCTAATTAAAGAGCGTAATAATTTTAAATTTATAATTAGCTATATATATAAATTTAAGATTTTCTAACTTAGCTCTATCTTATTCTTTTATATATATTAATTTTATAAGATAATTTTATAAAATAAATAATATATTAAACTCTAGATTATAGATCTAGATTATATTTATTAAATTATATTAAAATAATAAGATAATAATCGAAATAATAATGCGGAGAAGATAATTTATTGCCTCTCGGCGTTTATCGAATATCCGACCCTCGTTAGTGTAAATATAGGAAAGAATCGTCTCCGGCAGTGGCTCTGCGCGTCAAGCGTACTCTCGCCGAGAGCACGTTGCATGTATTGAACTTCTCCAAATTCGGCCCTTCTTCCGTTCGCACGTGGTTGTTGTCAATATTGCCACGCCCCTTGCCAGCAGCAGTATGAAGGACACGTCTTGATGAGCGTAGATAATAGGCCTCTGTAAATCAGTTCGATGCTAGATTGAAGTCTCGATCTTCGCTATGCCTACGTCTATAGCTTTCTCTATGTTCATCACTTCTCAACACACCATATTGATCTCCCGTCCGTTCTGTCTCTGTGAGAATCTAGCACCGTTATTACCCTCGAAGCTGATATGCAAATCACGTATAATCTATGTCTACAACCGTGAGAGCTGAATGTAGTCGCACGCCAGGGCGGGAAAACGCCTAAAGTCTTCAACATACTCAGATAGTAAGAAGACAATACGATTAAAGTTCAAGGTTGCCAAGGGGATAGCACCTTCCGCCGATGATCCAGAACCAACATTATTCCGCGCTCCAAAGAACTCTCACACATACCATGGAGGATCCTGCGGAACGGGCGGTGCTGACGTCGGTGAGTACGTGATCAGGAGAGCACTGTTGGACCCGGAGTAATCAATCGTGTGGCTCGGCGGAGGCCCGCTCATGATGTTTAGGTAGCCTTGGTTGTTATTGTAGCTCATGGTCCTCCCACAAGACTGCTGGAGTATCACCTGGTCAGTCCACGACATATTCCACATGTTGGCCGCCTGGTAGAAGAGCGATGTCTCATTCCCCTGATATCCGCAAGCGCACGGGACCCATTCGTGAGGAGCACCGTCTCCCGTGCTAGTGTTGCGGCTGCCGGTGTTGGACCAATCCCACCCATAGTAGTTTTTGCCGCCGTCGCAGACCGGAAGACTCCACTCGCCAGGTAACTAGGTGAGCGGTCAGTTTCGAGTTCTTCAATTATCTTCAGCAGCTCATACCTGACCGATCAATGTTTGGCTACTACCTAGGTTGTTCGCGATCATAGCACTCAGTGAAGCTGTGAACGCATACGCATCTGTGTAGTCCGCTTGCAAGCCATCTGTACAGTTTCTCCAAATCAGTCCTCCGCTTCCATTGTCCATGAATGACAGGAATCAGGTTCGGAATCGTAAATTCCCTGTGGATTCTCTTACATTGTCTGTAAAGTTTTGCTGATGCAGCACATATCCACTTGCAAAGTCAGACATGAGTCAGTTGATACCTATCGGCTTGGGAAATCACATCGGTTGCTCACCCATGGTTCAATACCAACACTCTGTAGCGAATCGTAACCATACGGTCCTTTGGTGTTCGGTCTTGCTAGTTTTCCCAAGCCTGAGAAACCCATGGCCTGAAGATAGTACACTCCACCATCGGCACAGTATTTTGAGCTCTGGGGACCATGGAGATCAAGGTCGCATTTGGTTGTCGAATTCCCTTTTGAGCCTCATCAGTCACATGTCCTCTATGAGAGCAATTGGCAAGGAAACCCCACCGTCTTCGAGGTCTGTGAATTGCACGTAGACTTGTCCTTGACCCCAGATGTTGTTGATCATCCGAGAAGTTACATCAACATTCAAGGTCTCTATGAGCTCAGTATCCGTCCATGAGGTATGGTTTTCCGCATATATGCCTCCATAAAGAGCCACCCTATGCAATAAATTAGGATGATAGAAGTGGGACAGCCGACAACTTACATGAGCATCGTCGACCAGCTGTTATTGCTAAACAAGTTGTCGTTGTAGTTCATCAACGTGGTCTGCGTTTGATTCCAATTGAGGTCAAGTAGATCCGCATAGTTTTGTATCTGGGCGAGAGGATTTCTAGAGACGTGTCAGTCGTTGTTCCTGCGGTAAACCAGTAGCACGTCCTTACGCGTCGTTAGCGACAATCTTGCTCCACGTACTCGCTGAACCAGTGATCAAAGCACCCGGTATGGAGCCATAGATTGCGGCGCCTTGGCCTGGAGCGGCCTTTGGGCTCGTTAGACCCTCACCAAGTCGATTTATCGCCGCCGTGCCCAAACCCTCCGCCTCTGTTGCGGCCGATTCCCCTACGGCCACTCCAATTTCTTCTGCTTCTACAACAATATCTTCTACTACAGCCGCTGGAATCAGTAAAGTCCAAAAAATCCCGACGACCCCTACGATAGCACCAATAAAGGTGAGGGCGAGGATGGCCTTCTCGGTGGGTGAGACGCTTTCTTCAATGAAATCATCGAGGATTGTTTGCGTGACCATGCTCTTGGCGATAACTGCGTTTGTAAGCGCGGTCTAGGATGCCGAAATCAGCCTATCCGATCATAATCCGAAATACACAGGATTTACGTTGATAGCCACCATGACAGAGTGCAAGTTCATGATAGCCGAGAGCGCGAGGAACGCCCATGGAGGTATGCCACCTAGCCATCTATCAGTCAAATGGAAAGGATTAGGAAGCTCTTCAAAGTTGGCAAACGTTTACCATTGCTGCATGGGTTTTCTGAAATGGTACAACTGTCTCCAGCAAATGTACAGTCGAACGCCTCGCTATTGGCAGCCCAATACGCTAACTGAAATGGCTGTTGCTTTTCGTCAGGACGGTACTCGATTCAATTTCAAGGGAACCTATCATACCAGATTGCTAGAAGTATCAGGCGGCTGGAGGTTTTTCAAGGTTGAACTACCCAAGTCCTCAGGATCGCATTCGTCATCTCTTGAATCGAACCACCATTCGTATAAAAGCTGATCGACGTCCTGCTCCAGCCAATTTTCGGCCGTCAAAGCGTACTGCATTCCGCGTATTAGTCAAGGAGTGGGAGGGGCTTTACATGAAAAAGAAACTTACCGCAGGATCGTGTGTGCACTGTGGGGGATTAAGGATCGTATTAGAAGCGCAAGGGTATTCGCCCGAGATGCTGAGTGTGTATGTGCTGGCAACATTGGATGTCGTTTGGGTGGGCTCAACCGACCAACTAATGGCAGGCCTTGAGACTATAGCACAAGGATTATCTGTAAGAATGCTTCATGGGAGTGATGGTGAAGTTTGATAGGTTGACATTTAGGAGAATGCACGTACTTAAACATCCATGAGTTGGAACCGTTATCACAAATGTTGAACTAGCTGAACCAATACTTATGGCTGTGCTGTCCACCCAATCTGAATTGCCTCCGTTGAAGAGTCCAAGCTCTTGAATAGAATATCCGGGCGAGACGATCTTCACTGCCCAAACCGCACCTGTATCGTTCCAGAATTCCTGGTCCTCGGCTATTGTTTCGAATCCAGTGTGGTGAGCAAATTCTGATGTGAAGGTGGCAGTGCCTGTGTCGCCTGATGTGCACTCAGAGAAGGAGGGAAAGAGTAACGGCGAATTAACCATCGGTACGGTCGTAGAATCCCCGTTGTCGGACTCGCTAGTCTTGCCGGTCCCGGTGCTGGAATGGGTGGCATGATAGATGCCAGCGGATACGGAAACACTCGGCGAGCTTGTACTCGAAACCACAGTTTGGCTGGGTGCCAGCTCGGGCGATATCCTTGGGGACGCTAGGATAGGATAAGACCAGAAGAGAACTTCCTGCCAAAAGAGTGCAGCCCCTATTGAAGACGGTTTCATGTTTTACAATTGACGAAATGATTCAGAGACGATGTTGAGTTCTGATGTTGAAGGAAAGGAATGTTGCCCGCGGATGATATAAACGATTCGTGATTCCGTCTGGGGCCCGTGACTGCGTCGAAAAGAGACATAGACTGCGACTTCTGGATATCTTGTCGCAATGGAAGATTGATCGTCACGGGCCTCACCAGGGCACAATCGCGAAACACCGTTCCCATGTGTCATTGGAATTTTAGCCGGTTCGTATGTCGGCAAGAATGGTTCCGATTAATGGATTGATAGTGTTGAAACATGTACTAAGAGGTGGCCGTGGAAGCACGAGCGGCGAAGCCAACCCCGAAGCTTTGCCTCGAGCTCGAAGTGCAAAACCAAAGAGCGGGAACGAACAGCTTATCTTGCTTTTCCATAGTCCAGATCAGAAAGCCAGCAATCTGTGCTTGTGCAACCACAACTTTCTTGTATAGATCCATCGTGCACAACGTCTACAGCATGCCCAAGCCATCACAAGGGCCTAGATATCTATACTATCTCCGAAAGTAGGTCATAGAAAGACTATCAGGTAAAGGACATCGAGGCATATGTTACGACGTATAATCACGTTGACGGCAAGACTAGAGCATGGGTATAGCTGGCGCATGACGTGACATTCAAATACGAGAACCTACGAAATGGGGAAATTGAAACATCAGGGTGCAGATAAGAAAAAGGGAGATTGAACCATGAAAACTATAAACACGGGTGAAACAAGTCCGGTTTCCGGCACGGCGACGGTAGAAGTGAATCACGTGGGTAGGAAGTCTAGCGTCGGGCTATCTTCGGCCTTGCCAGAAGATCGATACGGGATGGATACTCAACGTGTTTACCACTGCAAACATAATCCGTGGCTATCATGGTTGGGGGTTTCGGGTGGTTGGGGGGTGCGGGTTGGTTTGGAAGTAAAAGAACAACCATAACGCGTGATTTTAAGCGGACAATATACTCGTAAGGTTCCTGGAAGATCATCCGCTGCCAAGCCGTGTTTGATTTTCTCAGATAAGAGTAAATAGATATTTCTGCCGACTTACTAAAAACATGACGAAGTTGCATTTTATGAAGCTCCTTCTGCGATCACTTGTTGACAGCAGGTTACTACTGTCAAGTTTGTACGTACTCAGCGCGAGATTTGACCCCAAATTAACCTCGAGGGTCGGTTTAACACACTTGCTGATCGGGATGTTTAGTAGATCGGAGGGGAAGTGGTCGCAGAAGGTGTGTTTACAGTACTGACCGTTATCATCTTGAACGTTGCGTTTCCTCGCTCTGACATCCGCTCCCTTGCCAAGTCTCATCATCTTTCGAAGTACCGTCTCAGATACTTTCCTTCAACAGGATGGAGAGCGTGGCCTGTCGTGTGAGGGTGGCGGACCAGTTACGCTGCCAGAGTGCTGAGGTGCACCGCAAGGCTCTCAAGAGATATGATTCCGAGAGATAAGAATCAGATAATGATAGACGTACTTATCTAACGACATTACTCGTATCCACCAGAGCTGTTGGTTTTACCGTATTATGATACAACAAAAGCTGCGGCTTGCGGATACTTATCGCTTTGATTCGGATGCTCGGGATCTCCTACAACATCCCACGCAGCGAGCGAAATTGTTAAATTCGGATTATTGAGAATTTCGTTTGATGACTTGGTAGTGCAGAAAAAGTACCATCGATTACTAGAGCTGAGACTGTAAAATAGAGCCGCGATCGCTCGTATCAATTTCGATGTGACAAGAAAGGCAATGAACTCCTGACATTATTCAGGGTTGCGACCAACAACCCTACGGCGGATCTAATTTAAGGTGATAAGAATTGGGCCCCAACGTTAGTAACTTCAGTAACTTCTAACTGTGAAATTCGAACATTGAAATGAATCCAGACTCTGAGCTCTCAATGGAAATAAATCTCTCTATGGAGGGAGTCTAAAAGTATGACGAAATTTGTTGAGTTGCAAATTCAATTAAGAATAGAATATACTTTATTTAATGGAACCTTGAGCGCAGCAATTAGAACCATTTCCAGAAGTCAACTTTTTTTCCAACTCATTTTATTCCTTTACTTGTGTTCGGTACGTACATGCTAGTAAATGTAGGGGTCTTGATAGCTTGCCGCGCTCATGAGTTAGCAAAGTTCTGAGACAAATGATAATCCCTACGCTCGACCCCTGCTAGCCTGTACGTACCGAACACAAACAAAGGGATAGGGTAAGTAATATTCCCACTACAACGTTGCGTCCATGTAGCGCGCGGTTGCAAAGCGGAAGGGTGTGTTTTATTTGATCGATTTTTACACTTGCCCTCTGTGCTGCCCAAGGCTTGCCAAGACCGGAGACAGCACGCTTGGTTAGACACTATTATCGGCCGCTCTCGCTCCCAGTCTTTCACAAGTCACGACTGCCGCTACAGGACTCCATTACTTTACTCTTTGAACGACGTATAGACTCAGCGCGTACTGACGGATACTGCTCATGCAGAGTAGGTGTTGTTGTCATCTGGAGTAGTCCACGAAGTTCCAGCTGTGAAATCGAAATTGTGTTACACTAGCTACCCGGACTTGATTCAACCGAACCTGAAAAGATGTTTGCTGTAAGCCGGTCGCCGGTCCCACGCTGTTTCCGTGACCACAACACCACCGTTTGCGGCGGGAAAACACTTGTTTGAAGGGGAACAGACGATGAAAAATGACGTGTCGGTCTCAGCGCTGGCGAAATCCAGTGCAAGAAAATGAGGAAGATCAAGTCGAATCGGTCCAACACAAGAATGGCTAGTGTGAGGCGTGAAGAAAGTCAAGTTTAAGGTGAAGTTGGCGCGAGTATTGATTTCTGGTCAGGGACGACCTTTCGCCCGGTAGCTCTCGTGGTAGAGTGGCAATTAGCACCGCTCTAGTCACGGCCCAACAGAAAGAAGAACTCGGGAGCTCAGCGACGATCTACATGGGTCTAGGGTGATGGTAGACTCTCGAGGCTGAATTAAAGCACCTTTCAAAGGCGATCCCCGAAGGAAGATGGACTGTGCATTTCTCAAGTAAGTACCTATTGATACCGACCAACACATCCCGTGTTAGGGATCATCAGACTTGTAACCTTCCATCCTTCTCCCAGTCTCACCATATCAAAGACTGACGAAGCCTCTCCCAATCACAAATTATCCTCTCCGCTGTGCTGTAGTTCTCGCTTGAAGTCAGCCCGAACACTGCCAGTCGGAACAGGCCCCGGCTCATGCGGTACTGCTCATGGTACGCTAGGCTTACGTATTCAGATCCAGCGTGATGTTCAAAAATGCGCTTGAGCTCTTGACTCTGCAACGTTGAGGGCACCTCGTTGGCTCCCGGTCTCTCATATGGCCAAGTGGGTAAATCATCGTGCGGAAGATCATCCGGATCGAAACCCCAGAGCCATCCTGGAGGCTCACAGTTCACGAACTTTGGTGCCATGACTGCTTCGTCCCAATCGAGAATTCCTGTGATTTGAATACAGCCGAACGGCCTTATGCTTGCCATGATATTACGAGGATGTAGGTCAACATGGCAGAGGCAATGAGATCTCGGCATGAATAAGTCCAGGTCGTTCATTTCTTCGACGACTTTAAGCACGCCATCCCAGAGGCCAACCGTCCGATCAACCATAGGGGAGTCTCTCGCGACATCGACTGCCCGCCAGCGCCCAATTTGACACTTGAAGAAGTCCAGAGTAGTTTGGCTCTCACGCGGATTTCCCTCGATAATTGAAGCTTGCTGCTCTGGCTCTTCGAATTGATCTCCACCAGCACTCTTCAAGTCGAATGGGACAATAGTATGGGGCTCTGTACTCCCCATGCCATTGGAGTATGCTTCGACATGGCCTGTCACCGGACTTTCGAGTGCCAAAAGACTTTTTATCACACGACCTACTTCACAAGCGACGGTGCATCGTTGCGAATGATTTAATTCGGCCCACAGAACCTCGAGGTTACTTCCGGGGATGCGATTCTGAATAATGTAGGGGCTCTCTAGCGGATTTTCTTTACTGAAGTCCTTCGCAATAGTGGTGGCTATTGGGATTGTAGACTTCCGTCGCAAGTAGTCGAGAGTGGCAACTACCCTTTCGGTTTGGCCTTGGCCCCATCGTGGTACCCGAAGAATGAGATTGCGATTGCGACTCTCTTCGTCTTTTGACAGCGGCAGTGTTATACCCACAATGCGGTTGTAGTCGCCGCCTCGGAGGCGCTCGATGAGTGGTGCTTTCTGAGAGCGAATGATGAGACGGAAGAATTTGCTTGCACGCATACGTGTTGCTGTTTTGCTGTTTGACAAAGCTTGTCTGATGGATCTCTGCGGAGGCCAGAGAATCTGGCAAAGCCTTTCAACGCGGAGTTTGAACAGATCGTAGGACTCCTGGTCGTAATTCAGAGTTGAAGTGTCGGAATGTGCAGAGCTGGAATGTATCGAGTCATTCTCAGATGGTGCGGGTACTCCATCTTTCATCTCTTGCAAGGTGAGTGCCGTCATCGTCGGTGGATCTGATCGAATATCTTGATCGTTTTCTGTAGATTTCGAAGCCATGAATATGGGCGTTGAATTGAGCCTGGCGTCTCGGTTGGAAACAGAGGATGCTTAGATGGATGATGTGCAGAGGTGCGAAAGTTTCTCCTTATTTGAATAGCTGCTGCCCAGCAGATGTGATGCAACAAGGACCAATGAAACAATCGCCAAACTCCATTGATACCATGTTTGCGAACGGACTAAGAAGCCCCTTGCATGGATTTAAGCCCTTGACACCATTTCTTTGTCTCAACAACTATGTTGCTTTTCTGTTTTGTTTTAGATGTTTCTATTTATGCGTTGTGCTCTCTTTGTTACTCGGCTTTCCGCCGAGTGGTCCTTCTGGATTAATGCATCTGCTCTGTCGTACTGTATGTTGTGACACCTTTCTTTATGCACGGACAAATTCCCTTTCTCTGGGCACCTAACAGAACAAAGCCCCTTCGCGACGAAACTTAAAGAGATCAAAGCGCTCTTTGAAATCGGCCATCAAAAACTCTTTGCACCAGTCAAGGCTCAATTATGCCTACATATTCTTCGTTTTTCGTCTTCACATTTACAACTCTTCTTTTAGCATGGACTACAGCTACGATAACAAATCATAATATCCCACACACCACAGCACTTGAACCTTCAATCCACATCATAAAACGCACCCTATACTTCAAACAGAATGACGAAATCGCACCATTGTGGAGGTCCCGGGAAAGGCATGAAGGGCAATTGTCGCAACTCCAACGGCGTGTGCAAGAGCCACCAAACCAAGTGCCAGACCGTACTCCGTAATGGGAGAACATGCAATATCAAGCATCTCAGGATCGAGAGGTGCCCATCCTGCGGGCGCTAAGACTACGACTGCGATCGATTACGCGTCTTGGAGTTCCGAAGTGTAGGTGGGAAAACCGTGCAACAAGGGCGACCAAGAACTTTGACCCAATCTCATAGCATTATCTTTATCAACATTCTTTTATACTGCCTATTTCCGCCGTGCACAGTCTTCAATTATCGCTTAGACAGAGTTCTCCTTTCTCATTTTGGTAGTCTGTTTCTCATTTTGGTAGTCTGTTTCTGCTTGTGATACATTGACCGATATTTTTTATTATCACCTTCACAACATAAACCTCTTGGGAAACGTCTTTCAAGAAGACACCCAAGGCTAAAGCTAAACCACAACAGTATCAATCCGATCGTAGACTTACTAGGAGGTAATCAACACTGAACGAGCAGCCGACAACTGAAGCTGTCCTACAAGAGCAGTTCATAAAATTATCTAGCACGCATGGTAAACTGTCAAATGTTATGCTCGACGCTATTGGATCGTTTGTCCTGAAGGTCATGAAACATTTCAGAAGACGCTATTATTGTTTGATGGCTCGCTTTGGGTCCTTCAGCGACATGAGAAAGGCAAGCTTCGTAGGCAGAGTACGTCTCCAGAAATGCCGGAACGACAGACATTAGCCCGCTGGAGTGTATGAAGTAGAAACTGCTAAATGTCTTCTTTGTTGAAGAAGGCAGTTCGGCAAGAGAAAGATAAAAGGTACTCACCACAGCAGTTGAAGTAGCTGGAAGACAACGTAGATTCTTTATGCAGTATGTAATTGTTACTCGCTTTGGAAATCTTCTTGTCAAGGACTAGTGCGGTTTCCATGCCGACAACGGCTAGCGAAAATGTACATGCAGTAAGCTAATGACCAACCCGAGTGGGCAGAGTCTGAACTCCATCAACTACTTGAGTCACTACTTCGTGTTCTTTCTGTCTTCGTCTACGTCTTTCTTTGAAGCTACCCCGGTGCCGCACCATACCTCGACTCTTCAACCAAACATGGTCCTTGCACAGCGAAGATACGAAGCTCTGACAGTCCTTGAAGCTTCAGCTGCTCAATGGGATTCCAAACACGATCTTAGCCACCCTCGCGGCCCAGGACGCGATCGGTCAGGTCACTGGTGTGCAGTTGGCCCCGGAATCTATTTTGAACAGGCATGGCATTGAAAAACTAGGAAATGACCACATCCGTAACGAGAACAAGCCCAGCAAGCACGCTTTTCGTTGTTCCAACCAGATTAGAAGCCGTTCTGACTGGGAAAGTATCGATGAACATAACCTTGTAAGACCACAGACTTCATTGGTCCGGCGGTCCAGTTCTTGCTCATGTTTCATTCTAGGTGCTACATGCCTACAAAGAAATTTTCCCCTACCGACCCTAACCACAATGCTTTTTCACCACGAACGATTGCGTTTTCGCTCGTTGCTTTGGCATATGATGTCGAAAGACGGTTCCATGGCGACATATGCCTGCGATTCTATCACACGAGCTACACTCATGAACTCATTGGTATACCTTAGGTTACTGGCTTGAGACTCGGCTTTGGAAGCGTGTGAATTGAATTGGCGGGACCTCTTTTGGGCGTCATCGGGGCGTTAGGCCCTAAACCTGGCTGGGACTAGGTGCAGTTCCGACATAATTCTCAAGCGCATTGTTCAGATAGCCCTTTAGGCGGGGGCGTCATCCGAGATATTGGCGCAGAAGTCTCGGCGTCCAGGACTTTTAGTTGCCGACCTCTTTTGGTGGGACCATTCCGCTCTCCACATTCCCCCATCAAATTTAGTTCCACTACCCTATCTATGCACTGCATCAAACATTCTCTCGTAGTCCTCAGACTTCCGCATTTCTTTGTCCCCTCCCTACCTTTTTACTCACTACCTTCACTCAGCTTTCACAACCGTGAAAACTTTTCAATGTGTTGATGAGCCAAGTCCTATCCCACAGTCATCATGTTGCCCAACTTCCTCCAATCGAATTACCAGACCTACAAACAAGACACTGACTCCATTGCCAAATGGCTCGCGGTCAAAGCAAAGCAATGCGGCTATCCTGCCGACCTTCTATCCCCAACTGTTCCGCCTACCTCTTTGCACCAACCCGCTCGTCCCTCGCAGCGACTGAAGGGAGCGGCACGCAAGAAAGCCAAAGATGTGGCTAAAGAAGATGCAGCGCCGTTGAAAGATCTCCAAATCTCAGCAGATGCACCCAAGTACACCATACAAGTCAAGGACTTTGTTACTTTGGCTGAATGCATTGCTCGATTCACCAAGCCAGCGGTAGAAGTACCGGCGACTCTGGCCAGGGCTCTCAATCGCGCCGTAGAGCTCCGCCAGCAACACAACACTTGGTGCCGTAGCCGGGTAGAGGCTGAGAGGTCCGTTGACAGCAACAAGAGCCATGCCTACTTTCTCGACATCCTCGAGCGCACACGTGAGATACTCAAGCCTCGTATGCCACCCGAGTTGATAGACGACTTTCTCTCAAAGCCATCCTCAAATGGGAATGGACAAGGAAATTCAGACACACAGATCAATGGACAAATCAGCAACATGTTTGTTGGATTAGACATCCAAGAACCTTCTCAAACATTCCTTGATGCGCCTGATGTCAAGCAGGAAACAGGTAATAAGGCTGTTCCGGAACCTACCTATGAAGCGGAAAAGTTGCGAAGCACAGAGGAGCAATATCTGGCGGCTCACTGTCTGTTCCAGGACGTGAGAAATATCCGCTCTTTCCTTCGCCAGCTATGGGCAAACTACAGAGATGGCGGCCTAAGCCTTGTTGCGGTCTCTATAACAACGAACACCGCCATCGATTTTGTCCGCAGTATGGAGCAGGATTGCTTGCAGCGATTTCCGGAAAAGTCCGACTACGAGAGTATCATGCACATTTTTTATAGCGTTCAGTGCTTACATCGCGGTCACGACCCAAGCAGCAAACAACAATCGAATGACCTTTTCAACTTTGAGGTTTACGATCTGGCAGAGGAGGTCATGGTGCCCACATACATCGTTCTTGAAGGCCTGCAAAGAATCATAAGTCCTGACTCTGTCCCAATCTATAAGCCTGGTCACTTTGGAGCCCGTGACATGAGAAACGATTGGACTAAGAAATCCGCCAGGGACAAGGTCCACGATGATAGCCTTGTTTTGATGGAAGCATTTCCTGACCTGATGCTTATGACCATGATCACTTCAAAGTCACCGTTAGCGGAGGACGAGCTCATCCGAGGCATCCGTCAAATGGCCCCTGGAAGACTCATCCCGCTGTGGCTTGTATTCGCTGCCCAGTGCTTCCTCGATGCTCAACACGTCCTCGGTCGAGATGTCGCCCGTGGACATGCAGAGCTTCAACAGACTGCCAACGCTATCAGGGCGTCTATCTCGCAGAATTTCGATTTCCATAAATCACTCCGTGTTGAAAACTGGCCCAGGCAGAACGACTTCCAGCTCAACGAGAGCCTCAGAGTCATTGAAGAGTGGATACGCCACGATATGGTAGCGGATAAGATGAAAGCAGTAAGGACAGGAGTTCTGGACTTTTCAACTTGGCTAACAGACGCTCGAACAGGTCAAAGCCGCAGTGACGCTGCCACCTCCGGAGCCTTTCCGACTGCTGAAACAATACCCTCTTATCTGCGGCCTCTTCTCGTTTGCCATCCAAAAGACAGCACAAGAAGTGGGCATCGCTTTCGCCAACGCCTGGGGCTCAATCATGTACACTGGTCACCTGTATAATGCTATCCGGCAGGAGAAGTTCCTATCGAAAGCATGGAAAGACATGGAGTTGCTCATTGCATTACAAAGTACCGAGAAGTTCTTTGTTGGTGATCCTCCAAAAGACTTGGAGGGATATCTTAAGCGTTTCCTTTTGAGCGTGGCATACTCTGCCACTGCGTTTGCCCGCAACCGTAGGAGAGGTGCTGCGATAGCTTCTGCCAAAGGCCCGAGAGCTCTGTCTGAACTGTGCGCTGTTGGTGCGCTCTTTAAGGGGAGATACTGTCAAAATCAGCATACCGTGACTTGGACGCCTGACGGTATTAAACCGATAATAGAAGCAAAGATAGAGGACGATAGTGAGAGTGAGAATGCGGAGAAAAAGTCCACCAAGGTCAAGACTGCTGCGTCCGGCTCGCTCATGCGCAAACCCAAAAGCAACAGCGGATCGATGCCGACAACCGACTTTCTCGGAGATCTCGCCAATGCCCTACACGCCGAAACACTTGAAATGAGCGTCGATTACCTACGAATGCACAGATTTTGTTGGATGCTCTTACGCAACGTCAACGACGTGTGCAAACCTCAGTTGCTCGAGATGTTTGGTCCCGGCTATTTGGAGAAAGAGAATCAGCTTCCGTTCATGGTTGGATACATTTTCATGGCGGCGACCCAGACGAGTCGAGTAGCCAACTTATTGCTACCGAGACGTGCTGGCGTTGAGGTTTCAAGCCGCCTGTTGGCGAGGGCCGCGACGGCACTTGAGGGCATGGTTGAAAGTGGCGCCGGAGAAATTGAGAGTAAGTTCATTGCACAGCGCCTTGGGGTTGGGGAGATCGACTACGGCGAGCTAGACAATCTGGACGCGCACGACCGAACGTGAACGTCAACCTTAAGCTCTCCTGCCGTACTCTTGGCCGGTTTTGCAAATATTATGACCTTGCTCAACAGCCGTTCTATCCTCCAGAAGACGGTAAATCTGACGATAGGGTTCATAGCTCATCCATGTCATGATTGCGACTTTGCTGCTATGTGAAGGATCGCTAGCCATAAAACATACAATGATCGTGAAGAACACAGTTGATGACTTTTTCAAACAGAGACCTCTCCGGGACAACTGATCATATATCATCGCAGGTCTTTTAACATGCTGCGGTCGCTTCCACTTGGACTTGCTTTTTCTGGCTTTCTTTTTAGCAAAGCGATACGGGCGCATATACATACTTTAGTCCAGGTACCTCCGGCGACGCTAGTGTATGGTGACTCCTATGATTGAGCCGGGTACCTTGTGCTCTTCATCGCAATTTGAGATCTTGCGCGTAAGATTATTGGCATCTAGGACTTTTTACGCCGGCCTTCGTACGTGCTTCGCTCCTAGGGTAATCCCGCGTGTTGCAAGGGGGGTTGCTGGAGGGTCCACGCACCAGAGGGTCCTTCTTCGCGTGGTATGCTCGCGACCGAAGAGTTTGCTTCTTTGTCGACTGACCGTTAACATGGGAGCCTTCCCCCACAGGTCTTGATATTACTAGTGACGTGGTATGACCCGGATGCTTGCCGAGAATCCTTTCTGCTTGCATAAGAAGATGTATTGTTTTCAAGCGCGGGAAACCTCGGGTGGAAGAGGGTGACTGAAAAACCATGATGTTTGTGGCGAAGCGCTGATAAATTCTCCATATAGGAAGATGCAGGGAAAACGGTAACATGGCGGTTGAAGGCCCTAAAAAGGTCTTTTCCTGTGACCGCGCAAGCTCTCTAATCGCCGTTAAGGAGTCATGACACCCCTGCTGTTTAGGGAGGTAGGTATGAGATGCAATTGTGGTTGCCAACAATGATGGTTGATTCTATGTGCTAATTGTCTCTTCAAACTCCACCGAGGTGCCCCCACAGACCATCGATTGCAAAAAGAAGTGATTTCGCTGTGAGCTGCCTTCATCCGTACCATAACCAGCACGAAGCGGTACATGCTGCAATCTAGAAATCTTCTGGCAATTCCCCCATGCAGATGACCGCCGCAATGTACCGTCTTAGAAACAACGAGTCATCTTTGGAATAGCCGCCAACAAGGGTTTCGTTCCGACAGAGCAACAAGGCAGTGATGAACATGAAAACTCCACTCGCAGCCTCTTCGCCTTGCAGTGTGCATTGAAGCCACATCACCTTCCAAACCGTCTCTTCCAATTGTACTTCTCCCTCCTTGATCCAAGGACGCTTCTTTTGCAGTGCCTTGGTCGACTCGGGTCCCAGAGAGTCGTAGACAGCAATCGCACGCCTCTGTGGACACGCCGCGAGGAGGATGCAGTGGTCCTGCTCTTTGATGACAGTCGGGAACAGGATCATATCGATGTCCGCGTTCACCAACATCGCCTTTTCCGAAACCTCTTGAGGTGTTGCAGCAGCCAAATCCAGACTATCGGAGGGAACAACAACGGTGCTGCCAGGCTTGCGCTGATTTCGGTGAGAGATGAGAATCCGGAACCACTGATCTCTAATGGTGTCGCTGAGGAGTCCTGACAAATCTGTGTTGGCATCTGACGTAGGCAGGATCGAATTGAGATCATGTCTCGTGATGGAAAGACCGTAGCCTTTGGGGACGGGGAGGATGGCCGAGGCATCTGTGATTTGCATGCATTCGTTCAGTTTGTCCTCCCAACGCTTTGGCAGAGGACTGAGAAGACATTCGGGCGTTCCAAAAGCGGCATCTTGGAAAGGAATTTCTTTCATCGCCAGTGTTAGCCTCCACACCTCGGTGACAGCGAACCATTCCTCAAAGCACATAGGCGCCCTGTCGTGACTAGGTAAAAAGTATTGATTATCCTCCGTAGAATCATGCTCAATCAAGGCAGACCGGTTCTCGTGCTTGGTCCGTAAATACTCCCTGATATCCGCAGCGTGCTTGTCACGGATGAATCGGGTGGCTCTGTCAGCAAGATCCATGCCCAGCTCTTTGTACCGAGCCAGGTACTGTCTTGCTAAGAAATTATCCTCCTCTGTCAGGTACACGACGGGCTCCTCCTGAATTGCACGAGAATGTTTCTTCGTCATGGCTGCCGCCCATTTTTCATCATCAAGACCAATCCCTTCTTCGATCTGCTCAATCTCCTTGAGCAGCTCATTCAAGACGACGGAGCTGAAGGCGCGGGAAGACATGACTCAAGCGAGGCCTTTATGCAAGGCAGGAGTGAGATGGGTAGATGAGAGGTTGGCAAGGTTTAGCGATCACCCGGGTGGGATGGCTGTTTGGAGCCGGCAGGAGGAAAGCGTTCCGAGATGCGCGAGGTTCCTGTACCAATCAAGTGTGTTGAGAATGTTTGCTGATTATCCGTGTTGATGACGTGTCCGCTTTGTTGTTTGCTTGCAGATGTCAAGAAGGGGAAGGACTGAAAGCGACCATTGAGCGAGATGTACCTATGTAGCCGTGAATAAGTTCGGCTTGTGGTGGGTATGGGTAGCTCTTACTCTGTTATCTGGCCAGTGTCTGAACGGCTAGGAAAGAAGCCCAATTAGACAGAGCCTTCTCTTCTGGCAAGCACTGCTGTAAAATCTGGACCTTTTAATCATGAGATACGGGGCATAAGGTCCAAATCCTGTACAGTAGTTGTCGGCAATGAGACCAATAGCAGCTGGCCGAACAGGTCAAGTGCGCCTGCCAAGTATGTAGACAAAGCTACGGAAGGTATGAAGACAATTTGAAGATACATTGGAAGGCGTCGCGTAGACAAGGTGGAGTGATAGAAGCGCGTGTATTAGTCAGCGCTTGTTCAATTGGTTGACCGGGCGTCTTGTGAAGTGAATAAGCTGCAGAAAGAGTCTACAAATGCCAATCGCGCCCAATCGTCACATTATATATGCCATGCCATTACCTCTGATTTCAAGATTTATAACACACAGCTTTCAAGATTAGCAATATAAAGGAATGATACTTGTGTACACGGTGTGTGGAAAACTGTGAACAAAAATTTGTCTTCAAGTGTTACGATTCTCTGACAAGTTTCAGGTCATATAGTTTAGCAAAACCTCTGAAACGAGCCTTCAACTGGAATCAAAACAAACATGAGTCTTTGTCCGGGTTTCAAGCCCCTCCAGTCTAGGCAGCCACAAATGACTTCTTCAAGTTACAAGATGAGTACCCATCTGCAACAGCCAAAACTTACACGGAGCGAAGTTTCCCACCACTAGGGAGTGTGCCTAAGAAGTCCTAACCAACCATCGCGAGGATACCTTGCCACTTGAAATGAAACGCATTGAAACATATTTTCAAACTCCTTGAGTCATGAGCCAACTGACCTGGTCCTTACACTAGCAAGATGGTCAGTATAAAGGACCCGTTGTTCCTGCTTCTTGCCTTTGTTTTCAAAATACTCTTTATCAAAGTTTCCACCACCTTCAACTACATCTCCACTTTACACTTCTATCCACTACAAACAATAGTCATCAGTCGTACTCGCCATCTTATAACCACCAACCTCTATCCGATTGGCTGTGCCAAATAACCGGATCCTCAACTCGAAATTCTTCTAAAACTTTGATATCTATCATGTCTTCGACCACGTTTGTCCTCCTTGTCATCTATGCCCTCTGTGCTGGCATCGTGAGCACATCTCCGTCGCCGGATCACGCGCTCATCTCCGCCCGCCACCAAGACCAGAAATCAAAGACTGAACCAGTACCGGCCTACCTCACAATTAAAGTCTACAACGATACCACTTGCGGTCACAGTCACGTATACGAAGTATACGCCCATAATACCCAACCCCTCGCATATGGTATCATGTGGGCTCCCGGCTTAACAACCCGATCGTACACCCTCAGCCGAGATCTTGAACAGGACGAGGTCCTCGACTGGAACAACCCCTATCCGTCCGGCTCTGCACCGCCGGGAGATGGTATCCCAGAACAGTGCGGAACATACTCGCAGACCACGAATCCGGACTCGAATGGCAATATGCTGCACGGAAATACCTGTTATCTAATGGCTCCCGGAGCAACGGTATGTGCGGCGATTTTCGATTAAGATATCATGAATCATGAAGACTAACGCGTCCCGTGTAGTGCCTGTACATATACAACACAACAATGGTTCCCACTTACGATTATGCCGCCGGGACTGCTAAAGTGGCAGAGAAGATAGTTTCTTGACGCTCTATGAGACGTAGCCGCGTTGCCCTGTTGGATCTGAGCATTGTAAGTGATGCCATTGGAATCATCGCTAGGGAGCGTGGAAGAATCTAGTCACCTCATTCATAGGAAAAAACCCATTCATGCGCCTCTCCCTGACTCAAATCTTTCATAATGACATATGCCAATTCCATCTCTACGCCCACTTAATCCGCGTTACCATGTTTGAAATCCTCTATACACCCCTTCTCGTCTACTCTTAGAGCGCCCTCACCACGTCTAACCTCCCGCCAACAGCCCTTGCCGCCCTCAGCTCGCCCCCAGCCAACCTCCATATCTACACCTTAACAGAACCCGAAGTAACGCCATCGACAGGTCAAACTTCCTGTCACGGGGAACGGCGACCTCTCCTACTCTTCCGTTCTGCCTGTTGGTTACCCCGTCCAGTCGTACATGGCAACCCGCATTCGCCAAACGGGGGAGGAACCTGATCGAAGTACTCTATATGCGAAGGACACTATGCCTAAGGGAGAGACAATCCCAGAGGATTGTGGTGTCCATCTCCAAGTGACTAATCCGGATTCGAATAGGCACGTGCTGCACGGAGGGGTCTGTTGCCTATCACTGGTGAAACAACCGTATGTGTCCCTGGCAAGAGGAGAGATAAATCGTAAAGAGTAGTACTCTGAATCTAGTACGTGGATATATGGAACACGAGCTGTGATCCGATCTATGACCTGCAGACTGGGTATGCAAACAGTTACGGAGTTATGAGACACAGCTGCTCCTAAGATGATGTAGCGTAAGTCGTGCATAGGAGGGATTTCAATTTATCTTAGAAAGGAATGAATGCATAAAATTCAAGGGAATTCCTTGTCCCTTGTAGATAAAGTGACAGTCTTTAGAAAGACTTGCGAACATCGTCACAATTTCATAAAAGGTTTCGGCCTCCGCGCACCACTTTTGTTCCATAGTCTTACCATTAGATCCCAAGGGCAAGCCTGCCGGAGCAGCATCTGTTGGCGAACAGTTCTCATGTCCCATTCCCCGCTCTGAATCTGTCATTCTTAGCAATCTGTGCCATAGCTTCTTGCAAAATCGCCGTGATTGCTCTCCTGGGGTCGTCGGTACAATGTTTTGAACAGCGTGTTATGGCATAAGCCCCATAGCCCGGCAGCAGCGATCCTCGTATCCAAGCCTCCACTCTTACTCCAAGTCCCCTGAATCCGCACGGAGAACAAAATTCCTAATCAGTGGGTATGTCACAATTTCCATTGATTTTCATCGATATGGGGATGCTGTATTCATGTATGACGGCTACTGCATCATGAAAACAGCCGCAACAATCAAATCTAGGAGGCATTTCAACGTCACTCAGATCAAGCCCATCCAGCTCCGCACGTGCTCTCAGGCGTGTTCTCCCCGAGGGAACCCGAGCCCAATTAACCACGCCCTTTCTGGCTCCAATGTCGCGGCTGTGTAGGCCGATGATGATCATGATACTCCACACTTCCACCATCACCCTCAGGATGCCTGCCACTCAGCGGTCCCGAGACACTGAACTGCACCGTCAACACCCCACGCGCCGGCAGCGTTAACGAGATGTCGTTATTCGAAGCCACTTTTGGCCATTCCAAATCGCCCCAATCTACATCGTCAGTCGTTTGTATCAACCTTTGAATCCTTCCTCCTGTTCCAGGTAAATTCATCGTGACGACTTGAGCGGTATTGTTGCGATTGATAAAGGTCGCTTGCCACACATTATTCGTACCCAATGATGCTACAGCCACGGTACCGTATGGCAGCACCTCGTTGGGGATGTCGTAGCGTACAGAGCCCGGGCGGATGAACTGTGTGAAGTGGCGGAAGACCCAGAAGCGCTTTGTCAGGTAGAAACTGTAGTCTTTCGTGGTTTGATAATTTGCGTCAATGTAGATGAGGGCATCATTCCAGCCGCTGCCGTTCTGAATAGTGGTTGCGCAACTGGCATCAGTACTCGGAGAGCAGGGAATCATGGTGCTTACGGCTGTCCACCAATCGAAAGACTCGGCATTGACGAGGGTCAACCACTGCCAGATCATGCGTGCCATGTCGAGCGCACTGGACATTGTGGGATCGTACTGCGCGCTCATGACCGAAGGCCCAGTCCATCCCCATTCACTGCGCATACCCGATGCCGATTGAAACGATGAGATTTCCGTCATCTTGACTGGTGGTGGAAAGCCTGATACCGAGGAGTTTTTGACAAGCTGCCTATAGTTCAAGAGCGTCGCATCATCTGGCCAATCGTACATATGCACCGCAATTGCATCAATGTACTGGCCCGTAAGAGTCTCCGGCAACCAGTTCCCATAGTGCATCAGCGCCTGGCTGGCAATCTGACTCGTCTCGTCGCCCATGATCTTCACGGCTTTTACGCCGGCTGAGGTTGAAGCTGATGAAGCGGCTCGGAGCTGTTGAAATACAGCGGTGCGAATGCTCTGAGGTACAGCCATGCCTTCCTGGCCGCAACTGGAGAACGAGTCATCGGGCTCGTTCATGGGGGAAATGTATTCAATGGTGATGCCTTGCTCAGCCCAATAGGCCAACACTGTTTCAATGTAGGTGACAAACGCTGGTATTGCAGTCGCTTCCAAAGTCCCACCACAGGGCGCTGAAGACGCGGTGGTGGCGTTCAAGCCAGAAGGCGCTGCGTTGACGAAGAATGTGATGGATGACACATTTGCAGCTTCTGCCGCACGCAAATAGTACATTCCTGGGCCATCACGAGTCCAGTCATAAGTCCCGTCGGTTTTCATAAAGGACTCGACTCCTCGATTTACGGGAGCACCGTCAGTCTTTACAGTGACAATATCGTGATCTCCACTGGCGCCCATGTTGTATCGGTAGCCGCTTAGATGGAGCCAATCCTTCGAGAAGAGTAGCTCCGATAGATTTTGCTGTTGCTCGGAGGGAAAGTAGTTGAGATCATTAGGCCACCATGCGCCTGATGCACCGAAGGATTTGATTGTTTGTTCAGGAATTTGCATGATAGTGACTGCAATAGGAAAGATTAGGCCAATTTCCAAGTTTCATCTGGGCCTCGCTTACTTGGGGTTTGTTTGGGATCTGAAGCCTGCGCTTGATCGTAGCGGATCGGGTAATTTTGTATGATCTGTAGGAGTTGAGAAAAGTGTGTTCCTGCGTCAACAGAGCTCGGCGATCCCGAGAAATAGTTGTTGCTGCTGTTCTCGAGAGACTGCCACCATGCGACCGACGAGTAGAAGTATTGGTTAGCATGATTGCCGGTGATGTTGTTCGCAGAATCTAATGTAATCGCTTGTTCCCAAAGTGCCGTGTTTCCAAGGGGCGCTGGTGCCGATGGTACCACACTCGCTGGAGGAGAAGGAAGACCGTTAGTTGCTGGAAGAGCTGTCTGTGCATTGGCATTGATGATTGCTGCTAGAAAAAGGTAGAGAATGGTATTCATCTTGTGAGTGTGGCTGTGCGCATTTGCTTGCACTGAACGAGTGATGACGCTGGTGAGTGCACTTCATGAATGAAAGAATTGGAATGGAATCGACCAATAGTGCGTATGAAGATGACATGACAAGAATATGAGATGAGTGGAAGAAAAGGATTGGGGAGTCGTCGGAGGGGACGAAACAAAATATATGGGCCCGAGACGCATGACGCGTAACTCCGAGACAGCAAATTTTTGTATTATTCGGTTCAACAGATAAGCTCCAAACGAACAGAGCGCCGTGCCGTTCTGGCCGTGGCCCGTCTGTTAATATAGAAATGATTCAAGGCGGCAGAGAGCACAAGGCGAACTTCATTTCACGTAGCGTAGAGACCCAAGAATACTTCAAGGGTAACTCGTCTCGGGAGGCGATAATTGTTCCAGATCGCTCAGTCTCTGAACGGAAAGTTATCGTGGGGTGTGTCATGTGCTTGTTCCTGCATCAGATCTAGTACTTGCGATTGCCGCCCGCTGGCCGTGTTTTGAAGACTCATGGCTCTTTGAAGCGCTAGAAGCGCGCCAGATGATATCTTTGGCTGGCAGTAGATTACGAGGGGCGTACGAGAGCCACTGCTCCCCGTCAATTATCTCAAAGCCTACTAGGCACACCAGTCCCATCAATAAGCCAGGTGGCGGAGTCACCGAAGAACCAGCCTGGCCAGAAGCAAGTTTACTGGAGTTCTGCACGGCTTTTTTCTTCTTAATTCTGACTCCCGAAAAGAAAGATAGCATCGAGACGCGAAGCTTCCCTTTAACCTTCTTCCTTTCGTCGTATCCAAAAACATTGCGTCTTCTCAGATCCAGATATTCACACGCCAGAGAGCACCGAACGAAGAACTTGTGGCATAGACAGGATTTCCTACGGAATGTTAACCCACAGGTTTTTCAGAATTACAGTTGACAACTCCTCGGCAACCTCTTCATGTCGCAACCAATAGCCATACCAAGACCAAGCATCGGTCACCACCACGAAGTCGAAGGCCTTGTGAGTAGCTTAGATGAAAGAGGTAGCCCTCATAGTTGGCAAGCGCGCGACTGCAATGCTTTGTCTTGCCCTCAAGCTGGAATGAAGGACCGACCAGTGCGCGAAGCGAGATGGTCAACTCATTAGTATTTCTACGTACGCCAAACTTTTAACAGGTTTAGCGCAGCCGAAGCCCGCATCAGAAGCCGCAGTAACAGACTGGGGGCATTGGTCGTTGCCATAAATGCAACCTAATACTTGTTCATTGATGAGAGTTGTAGATAGATCATTGCCTCTTTGTTTTTTTCCCACGAGACCTTCCCACTCCTCAGCTTCTACCCTGCGACCCTAACACACGAAATCATCTCATCTCAAATCAGTCGGCTTTACTCGTAAGCATCTTTGCTCCTAGGCCCGAGTCCATCGCACTCTTGTACAAACGGCTATTTCTCATCTTCAATGAGACATCGAACAGCTTTGCTCTTGCTTTTCAATCATGTTGAATCTTTGAAGTTGCTATCTCAGCGGGCTCACACCGTGTTCCAGCTTCCAAGACTCACGAAATAAGACCTACTACGCGAGAACCGGCCTCACAATGGCAACCACGATTCCTGCGCCCCTCATTGACAAAGTCGCCATTATCACAGGGGCTTCTCGCGGTATTGGTGCAGCCATCGCCATCGAGCTCGCTCGAAAGGGAGCTGCCGCAATCGCCATCACCTACATGGGCAACCTTCCTGCCGCCGAGAACACTCTAGCCAAAATCAGAGCAACGAGTCCCCAAACCACCTGCATTGCTATCAAAGCCGACTTGTTATCCCCCACTTTCGGCGAAGACGTCGTCAAAGCTGCCCTTTCCGATCTCAAGACACCCCACCTCGACATTGTCGTCAACAACGCCGCGATATCCGACATGCGATACCAGGAACCCTTCGAGGAGATGACCTACGAAGGTTTCGAGAGAATGATGCGAGGCAACGGCTGGGGAACCATCCAGCTAATCCGCGCCGCACTTCCACACATCCGTCCTGGCGGTCGCATCATCAACATATCCTCCACATCCTCCAAGCGACCAAACCTCGACCCAGTGATGGCATACGGCATGTCGAAAGCTGCTCTTGACAGTATCACGCGCAGCCTAGCGGTCAAGTACGCTGCAGAAAAGAAGATTACGATCAACAGCGTTAGCCCTGGACCCACTGAGACTGATCTGCTGGCGCAGACGCTCAAGGGGGATGAGAAGCTCGCTGCGAGCGTGGCGCAGGGATCGACTGCGGAGAAAAGAACTGGAACGCCGGAAGACGTGGCGGGAATTGTAGGCTTTCTAGCAAGCGACGAGGCGAGGTGGGTCAATGGAAATCACGTGCCAGCTAGTGGAGGCAGGGCAGGCATTATGGATTCATGAGAACAAGGATCGTTGATGAAACTTCGATGCTAGCCTTCGTAAATCGGTGTTTGCGTTATATCAAGGTATAGCGAGCTTGTCAGACTCGTTACAATTTGTAAGAGAATGTAGCAAAAGTCATACATAGGAGTGAAAATCCTGAATGAAGTTTACAGTCCAGGCTCGGTGCCAGAAGAAAGTGACCCTGATTTGGAACTTTCTTTTTAGAACTCGTCGATCTGCAAGGCGATTGAGTGTTGAAATACTACAGTTCAGGCGCGGTGCTAGAAAAGATGGTCCCCATTGACGAGACCTTCCTTGGAAATTCGTCATTCCACCTCGGACGGTTGATCTTTTATATCTGACATGCTTTGATAGAAAGAGCCGATTCGTTCAGGCGGAGACCCATATAAATGGGGCGCAAATGAAACAAAGAGAGCCGTCTCATGTTAGTATTTAATTTTACGAATACTAAGCATGACTTTCGTTCCCTTCTCTTATGTCGAAGTCGTCTGCAGCGGCCTTTTAGGCTTTAAAGATACGGCGTTGCGCGCCATGCTTTTTACCGATGATACTACCTCCTCTGCATGCTACGGGCTGTTCTAGGAGACACAGAAGTGAATCTCGATGTAGTCCCTTGGTTTGTACAACCAATCCCATGACATTTTTCCTGAGTTGATGAATCATCACCAAGTCATCCTGTACCTTACGACGTTGAGGCGATCAATAATCAGCGTCTATTTCTTATGCACGCTAAGAACAAAAGGAAACTGGATGGATCTTTTCTTTCCTTTGAAAGAATAACGCAGGAATTTTGACAAAGAGCAGTCTTTGTATGGGCTTCCCTAAGGCACAATTGACACATCCGGTGATTACCTCTCCACAAAGGACTCTTTTTTGACAATAAACGGCAGAAATTTCGTCGCATTGACAGAATCACTATCCCTTCAGCTGGCCCTATGGCGGCCCTCACTGAGGAACAGTTTTCTTTTGACGGAGATCTGAGGGTTGTCCTCAACAAAGCCAACCTACAGGATTGACGTGCCGCTGTTTACACCTTGAGTCGATCTGTGAGGTCACTCTTAAAGTCCCTACCATCTCCAACTCCATCTCCAAAGAAATTCTCCTTAGAGAAACACCTACCTACCACAAAAATAAGCCACTTAACTAATCGTATTTCGCCATCTTCTTTCCTACCTCCGCTTCTTACGATCGGCCGTGCCGAATATCTAGCCAGTATCTCAGCTCCAACGCCACTTGAATATTGCTACATTTATCATGTCTCCAATCACCTTTACCCTTTTAATCATCTATGCCCTAAGTGCCGGTGTCCTCATCGCATCATCTCCAACACCAGGACCCTCAATACGGGCAGGCGTCAACATCACCGTCTTCAGCGATACCGCCTGCGTCCACAGCCCGCAGAACCATAGCTTCTCTTATGGTTTCATGTGGCCTACACCCTTCACCACGCAATCGTACACGCTCAGCCGAGCACTCTCGTCCGAGGAGCGACTCGACTGGAGCAATCCCTATCCCGCCGGCGGCCGTGCGCCGAACCCGGGGGAGATCCCACAGGCGTGCGGAACGTACCTGCAGACCACGAATCCGGACTCCGCGAACCCTCACAGCGGTAGTACGCTGCACGCGGGAACTTGTTACTTGATGGTTGGCGGAGCGGCGGTATGTGAAACACCCTCCGAGAAGAGATCAAAGACGATGAAGACTGATTCTTTCCATCTAGTGCGTGAACTTATGGAATACACAGTGGCCTCCCAGTTATAATGTTACTACTGGGGAAGCCATAGTATATCAGGCATCAACTTGACGCTCTATGAGACGCAAGCGCGCTGGTCTGCTAGATCTGAATGTCATAGCTAATGCCGCTGGAACTAGTGCTAAAAGGGGACGTGAGAGAGGTAAGTCAGTTTATATGCAACTGAGATCTCAGAAATCTTATAAAGTGAAATAGTCTTTGGGATGGGGAGAACATCCAAAAGAACCACCTCATGCGCCACTTCCAGATTCATTCCTTCCGCAGTAACTTGTCCCGAATTGATAGTTTCGCACATTTATCTCTATGAATTCACATGATGTACGGTCCACTTCTTCACTAGTCCTTCATCTGTAGGTACCTTGGTATGTATCAACCTCTTCCTTCCCCGACCCCAGAAAGTTACGAGCCTCTACTATGATTTCATATCTTGCTCGCTTATTCGATAGATACGAGGAAGCTCAATAGTACTGGGGATGATTTTGAGTTGAAATTTACTTGTGCCACCCACTTAATTTACCACTCACCTCCTCTACACGTATCTCATACTCATCTTTCTTAAACATTCATCTCTCTAACCTTCATCCCCTCAAACTTCATGTCTCCAGTATTCATTTCTCAAACATACACCCCTCAAAACAATCATCTCTCAAAATTCATCTCTACACACTCACATCTTACACTATTCACATCTACCTACAACATTCACCTCTAGACTTCCTAAACTATTTAAATCCACTCCCTCTTCTAACTTCCATCCTTTCTACAATATCCTTCCTACATCATCCTTTCTATACTATCCTTCGAAATAGATTACTAACTGTCTCCTACACACACCAATTACCTTCATTACATTTCCACGTCTCTACATCGCACTATCATGATGTATTCTACTCCTCTACACTTCTCAAATTACATCGAGGAAGAACTTCGCCACCAGACGATACGTGATTCGTTGATCTAACGCATTTGCTAAAGGATATGAAAGTCAACTATAAGAAAGTGAAAGAAAATTCAGATGCTAATTCTTCTCAGTCTCGCTAGTTACTTCACTGTCCATCTTCACCGCATAGTGAAGAGAGTGAGTGCTCTGAAAGTCTTCGAAAGCCGGCTTCTGACCGATTTGGCCAGCTCCACTGATCAACTTCACCAACGAGCTTCACCAGTCGAGTTCACCGCACAGAGTGATCAGCTAACTTCAATAGACAGCTTCACCCTCGACTTTCACCTCCTTTTTAATTATATAATCATCGTTATATTTCCTCTAGACGTCCTGTTTTAGAGGTCTCAGAAAAGGCTGATTCTCTTTTTACAAAAATATATACCTTATGCTATGTGTGGACGGGCGCCATTGGCCAGCAAAGTGAGCCTCGAGGACTATGTATAATAACTCACAGGGCGCGTTTCAAGTGTCCCACTGCTGACGCTGATACAGACTGAAGACATTCAAAGGTCCAGTGTCGTGAATGCCAAATTCATGACTTCCAAAGGGTACGGTCCCCAAGGAGCAAAGCCGCTCGAGATGAGAGCCCAGCCCCATGACTATCAGCTCCAAGGCTTGCAATGGTTGAGCCTACCCAATCCTGCAGGAAAAATCCTCGCCAACGACACGGGTCTCGGCAAAACCCTCCAAGCTCTCGCCACTGCTGCCGCACTTCCAAACAGACCCAACGGCGCTCGCCAGGTGCTGGTAGTTGTCCCTTGCCAAGTGCTCCAGAATCGGTTCAACGAAACGAACAAGGTCCACAACCCTGACACGCATTCTCACTCAATGGCTACGGTGATACACATGACATACACGCTAACCATGCTTTTAGGCCGGCCTTCCCCCTCTCAACCGTCCGCCTCCTGGTCCCCCTGCGCCGCCCAGCGTAGGCTCGGGTGAGGCTACCAGCAGCTCCAACAGCGACAACGACGAGGGCTCGGGGGACGAGCACGTTTCGGGCGGGTCTTCTGCCCGTACGCCCTCCGGCTCGCCCCTGCCTCCCTCGTGCGGCGACTCGCCCAATGGGCATGGCCCTCCCCCTCCTCCTTCGGAGGATGAAGATGAAGAGATGGAGGATGCAGCGGCTGCTACATGGGCAGGAGGGCATGAAACCAACTGATCCTACCGTCGATCAACTCAGAAGCTATGACGTTGTCTTGACAACACCCGCGAACATTTGTTTACAGATACGTGCCTACAAGGAGGCTCGTGTACTCTTGCGTCGCGATAAGACAATGACGATCAATGGCGTATCGATCGTCTCTCTCAGGAAGAAGACAATTTGTAAATACTTGGCGAAACTCTCGGAGCTGGAACAGAGAATATACCAAGCCACCCACAACATGGGCAAGATGAATTTGGGATCAATGTTGAAGTCCGGCAAAGCACCAACTGGTCAGGTCGTCCACATCTCGGATAATTTCTTACGTTTGAGGCAGGCATGCTGTGATCCAGGTTTGCTTTTGGATGCATCAAAAGCCAGAGTCGAGAAGCAGATCATCAAGAACGAAGCAGATGAAGATGATAAGAACCCTCAAGAGAACGCAGACGCACAGTACACCATATCCAGAGAACTGGAGCAACTTTGCCGGTCGGTGGAGAAAGACCATGTGCTACCGGCGAAGGCCAGGGTGCTACTCAGTCTTCTGGACCGGATCTACGGACAAGACCCTGAAGCAAAGGTCCTGATCTTCGCGGAATGGACGAAGCATTTGCAGCGCCTCCTCTCGCAACGCAGTTCTAGCGGATACAACTTTTCCCCTTTCCATGGTGAGCTCTCACCTAATCAGAGGGACGAAGCCCAAGCAGAGTATTTCCCCGATGGCGTCAATGGATCGATCCTCACCGTTGGGGCTGGTAGAGTGGGGTCGAATCTGGTGAAGGCGAACATTATGATCATGTTGAGCCCGCCTTGGAACCCACAGCGAGACGCTCAAGCAATGGACCGGGCCTATCGGATCGGACAACATTTAGACGTCGAGGTCCACCGCACCTTCACCCTCTCTATGGAACTTCGAACAGGCTACAATTGAAAGACACTACCAATCATCGAAGACCTGATCCAGCGCAAGCAAGCCATCAAGTTGGACAAGTTGGACATCATCGCTGGCTCATACGGGGCGAATTACTAATTCATACCCCAAAAGTTATGGATCCTTACCGAATCATACCCCTACACCCAATTTCACCCAAATATGGGGTATGATTTTGTAAGTTGTCAAAGTGGCCTCAAACTACGAAGGAGATAATCCGCGATCTGGCCTATTCGATCATAGAAATAAGGGAGTTTCTCCGACCGCATTTGATGAGAATTCTATCAGCCTAAAAACATCAGACGAAAGCCGAGTGGGCGAGATTTCGAGCCCGGGGATGTCCGCACTTCACGCTGCAGACACCCCTATTCGGGCCTATATCGGGCCCCATAGGGCCCCCGAAGAAATAATTCCTAACAATACCACCGTCATCAATAATTAAGTCGACGACTACTATCAGACGTTTAGTAAGATTAAGCCTACCGCTACCGCTATCTTCATTAGACCGTCTCGTATTAAAAAGCTATTATTCAAGACACTTACCAAATTATATCCTAAGCAATGGCAAATCACCGAATCATACACCATTTTTGGTGTGATTTGGTGTAGGGGTATGATTCGGTAATTTGCCCGGCTCATACGGGGTATGATCACTAATTTGCCCGGCTCATAGGGCCAGGATCACAGCGCGAACAGTAGACCCAGGGCATGTATGTGTCGTCTCGGTACGAGCCAAACTCGAGATCGAGGCCTCGCGGGCTAATTATGGAAGGTGATTCAGATCAGTCCTCAGGTGCATCGACTTCAGATATACGGGCGTCGAAAGACGAGGCTTGGGTCTGTGATAATGACGATGATTGAAGATGAGGATACCTAAGGATGAGGATGTCCTTGACTGATAAATGTTGTGATCTGGGGAAGTCTAAGTAGTCCCTGCCACGGCGTTCCGGATACAGTACCCGCTAGGGGACCTAGTAGCATCAAACATATAGACGTGACTGCTGCAAATCTCCACCCTCGCGAAAGCAATCACATGCGCGCTTTTCCCCAGTCTTTGAATGCGACACTACAAGTATCATCTGAGTGACTGGAGCTGCTCGCCATCTGTTGGAACGACTCAACACTCGCTACCACTAGTACTCATTCGGTCTAGTCATTGATATATAAAGGTCTTTCCTATATATAGATATCCTTCTTTTTTAGATATTATTAAGAATATTATATTTAATAATAAGTCTTATTATAGTAATAATTATATATTTAAGTATTTATTAATATTAATTAATATATTTTAATAATAATATATAGATTAATAAGATTATATATTAAAGAAAGTTTATCTTAATATCGCTATAATACTTTATATAATTCTATATTATTTAATTAATTTCGCTTATTATAATAATTTAATTAAATAAAATTATAATTTTTATAATTTCTATAATTTTTATTTAGTAGAGAAAATATCTAGAAAATATTAAATATTATTAAGCTTTATACTATATTAATATATAATATATACTTAAAATAAATTCTAAAAATAAGAAATCTAAATACTTATCTTTAGTTAAATTATCTAATATTATAACTCTATAATAATTAAAGAATATACTATCTAAAGAAGTTAATTTAATAAATATTAATAAGAGAATTAAATAATTCGTTTATTAAAGAATATAAGACTATAATAAAAATAAATAAAAGTTCCTCTTCGATATCTTTATTAAGGAATTTCGATAATTCGCTAAAAAGAACTTTAAGACTCTTTTTAAAGATTAGTAATATAGTTTATAAAATTATCTACGAACTAATAGAGTCTATATTAAAAAAGAATAAGAGATTTTAATAATTAAATTATTAATGAATATAATTAAAGAAGAAATTCTATAGCCATTAAACGACGAGAATCGTTCTCTATTAAAGTATTAATAATATTATTCTTTTTAATAGTAGTTAATTTAATTATAATAATCTTATTAATCTTATTAATTAAAGAATATTATTTCTCTTTTTTTATAATCGCCTTATTAATAGTCTTATTAATTAAAGAATATTATTTCTTTTCTCTTATAATTATCTTATTAATTAGAGAATATTACTTCGATTCTCTTTTTAATTTTAAATTATAATTTAAATTATTAAATCTTATATCTACTATTCTCGTTTTATTAAATTATTTAAAACTTTAATATTAAATAAAATTATAATTATAATAAGAAATTCGTTATATTAATTAAATTATATATTAACGAGAAGAAGTATAATAGAAGCTCTATTAAGAGTCTTAATTATAAATTAATAATTTTTATAAATTTTTATATAAGAGTTAAGATCCTCTAATAAATTCTTTAAATAGTATTTTTAATTATATTAAAATCTATAATATTAAAGTATTATTACTCTAACTATTAAGAAACTAGTCTTATTATTTATTAACTCTTTAATTAATTTTAAAGCTATTTTAAGAGAGAAGAATATTATTATCTTATACTTTATAAGTAAAATAATATTAATTTAAAAAACTTATTTTAAGTTAATCTTAAAAAGAATAGAAAATTTATTTTTAATAAGATAATTTAATAACTTCGTTAGATTTAACGAGAATTAAATTATAAATTTTAATTAGATATAATATTTTAAAATAAGATAATTATCTCTTATAATAATATCTCTATATATAATATTATAATCTTATAATAAATAATTATAATTATAAGATTAATTAATAATATTTATATTATAATTAAGAATTATAAAAAAAATTATAAAGATTAGAAGATTTAAACTATTTAAATTTATAATATACTTTATTAATCGAAAGTATTATATTAATTAATCTTTAAATTAGAATAAATATAATAGATTATTTTCGCTAATAAACGGCTTTTAGAAAAAGTAATACTTTATTTATAGAAAGATAGACTATTAATTAATTAAGTATATTATTAAAAAATATTAAAAATCTCGAAATAAATTTATTAAGTAATTTATTAACTTTATTAATAAATAATATAACTTCTATATTTAAAAGTTTAAAGATTAAAAAAAATAAGATCGAGAATTTTAAAATCTTAACTCTCGATATTTAAAAGACTAATTTAAAGAAAATTAAAAACTTTATTATAATTACTTTTATAATTATATTAAATTAAATTTAAATTATTACGTTTCCGATATAGCGTGAGAACTATCGCTTTCTTTTCTTTCTTCGAGAAACCTTACTAGCGTAACTTGGCATATCGCTTCTTTTTCTTTCTTCGAGAACGTTTATAGCTTAAGCTTAATTAATTAATCAATCACAATTAGAACTAAGAATCACCTTTTCCTTCTTCGAGAAACTTCTTTCTAGGAGTATATATATGCTTCTTATATAGTATCTCTAATATAAATATATTATTTAAAACTTTTTAGCTATTTTATTAGTATATATAATAGAATAAGATAGAATTAAATTAGAAAATCTTGAATTTATATATGCAGCCAATTATTAATTCGTTAGGTCTACGCTTTTTAATTAGATACTATAGATAAATAAATTAGCGTTCGCAATTATCAAAATCTCGCTCTCTCGCGCCTCTCTTATTAAAAAATAGATATATATTATTTACAATAATAAAAACTTTTTTATTTTCTACTAAAGTTTTAAAATTTTTTATTTTAAATTTTAAAGCGCTATTTACGCTTTTCGAATTTTTAGAAATTTAAAAATCTATCTTATAATCATTAAAGCGTAAGGAATTTAAATATCGCTTATCAAAGTTCGTATATTAAAGATCGCTTATCTATTTACTCGATAGCTCTAATTAAAAAAAACGATTATAAATTTAATTTATAGACCTTTACTCGTATATTATAATATTATTAAATCTAATAGCTTTCTTAATATTAATTAATATATTTTAAAGTAATTTTATAGTATTATATTAGATATTAAAATTATATATATATCTATTATTAAATATAATTAAATAAAAATCTATATAAGAGAATTTAATATATAATTAAATATTATTAATAATAATATTATTATCTAATTTAGAATTAGAATAGTTATATTAATTAAGAAACTTATAATAAATTTATTTAT